TTAAACAAATTGGGATAAAAATGAGAATATAACCTTTATACTAAAGTATAATTGAAATTGAGAAATATATTATGTGATAAGAAAATATCATGAAAACTTAAAGAATAATTTTAATAAAACTATAATGAAACTGCAAATGCTAAATGAATCCAAGAGTAGGGCAGTAAAAAGTCAATGATAGTCAAGTTAATCATAGAAGAAATTTAAATGTAAAATAAATGTATGGCAAAGCTATAAAAGAAAAATTAATAAATAATTATATTAGAGAGATGGAGTAGAAGCATACGTCGAAGATAAAATAGTGAAATGTAAATTTAAGTGATTGGAACATGTAAAATAAATTACAAAAAAATGCATCCCCTTCAATGGGTGCATAAAACCAATATTGAAGAATTTAGAGGAAAAAGGAAAGCACCATAAAGCTAAGGTAACGTGGGCAGATGTTCAGAAAAAATCAGAGTAAATAGATTTAACATTTCATCTAGCATTCAACAAGAACAATAAAAAATGAGGACTCGTAAAGTCTAATGGTTGACATAATATTGTGATGACTTGTCTTTTTCAATAATGCATTATTCTTGTCGTGCTCTTTTGTGTTATATAAATTATAAAATAAAGTTAGCATTAACTGTGAACTCCAGAAAAAAGAATGAACTTCCATGACACGAAAATAATTGTGAACTTGCAAAGGTCATAACAATGGTGCACATGTGAGGTGGGGATTTTTGTTGTTCCATGCTAAATTCTAAGGTGCAACTAAAGTATTTTGAAACGTGACACATCGATAAAAGAAGCTTTTGCCCAACCTCTCCAACTCTAATGTCTGCATAAATATGCAAAAGGTCTATATTTGTAGCTTAATGTACTTGAAGTCTTGAAATATCAATCCAATGACAATTTCAAGAAAAAAAAAAAAAACATTTACCTCTGCCGCTCCAAATCGTTGCCCTAATTGTCCCAATCTGCAGGCTCTCCCTATCAAATATGCAAGCTTACAGTTTTTTTTCCTTCTAGAGGCACACAAGGTGCTGAGATGATCTACAACAACAACATGAAGCCATTGTCCCACTACGTGGGGTCGGCTACATGAATACTTTTTCGTCATTGTGTCATGTTAAAAGTCAAGTCTCATTTAAATCTAATAAAGAAATATCATTTCTAATATTTTCTAACCAAGACTTTTTAGGTCTACCTCTACCTTTCTTAACATAAGTCAAATCTAATACCTCAACTTTCCTAACCGGTCATCGAAAGGCCTCCGTTTAATGTGACCAAACCATATAAGGCGACTCTCTCTAATCTTATCTTCCACTGGAGCTACTCCAACCTTTTTGTGTATATGCTCATTTCGTATCCTATCTCTAAGGGTAAAGCCACTCATCCACCTAAGCATCCTCATCTCTGCAACACTTAACTTAGTATTATGATTCTCTTTTAATGGCCAACATTCGGCACCATAAAGCATTATAGGCCTCACTACCATCTTATATAATTTTCCCTTAATTTTGAGGGGTACATTTCTATCAGCACATACAAGCCCGAGCATTCCTCCACTTAAACATCCAACTTGAATTCTGCTGATAATATCTCCATCTATTTCACCATCACCTGAACAATAGATCCAAGATATCTAAAATGTGTACTCTTATTAATGACTTGATCGCCCAAAGGCCCCTTTCCGTCACTAGGTCTATTGCTACTAAAATTATACTCCATATATTTATTTAGATCTACTAAAGCGAAAACTTAGACTCTAAGGTTGACCTCCATAATTCAAGTTAACCTTCAACTCCCTATGTAGTCTTATCAACAAGAAGAATATCATCAAGAAGAATATCATCAGCAACAAAGCATACACCAAGGTAGATCTCTGGCAAATGTCTAGTGAGAACATCCATGACTAAAGCAAAAAAGATATGGGCTTAAGGCTGATCCTTGATGTAATCCAACCGAAATAGAAAATACTTGGTCAAACACACCTTGTGTTTGAACACAAGTAATATCTCCTAACATACATATCTTTAATGTATTTGAATATAAGCATTATTAACTCCTTTCTTTTCACGAACTCTACATAGTACTTCTCTTGGAACTTTTTATATGCTTTCTAAATCAATAAATATCATATGTAGATCCTCCTTATTCTCTCTATAGTTTCCTCTCATCAACTCTCAAAAATTGTATGGCTTCCATAGTAGACCTACCCGGCATGAATCCAAATTGATTTTGAGAAACATTAGTATCACGCCGCAACCTATGCTCCATAACTCGCTCCCATAGTTTTAAAGTATGACACATTAACTTAATTCATCTATAATTCGTACAATCTTGTGCATCACCTTTATTCTTAAAAATAGGAATTAACACACTCATTCTCCACTCATCTAGCATCTTTTTAGCCTTCAAAATAGTATTACAAAATTTAGTGAGCCAAGAAATTCCATCATCTCCTAAGCATTTTCACACCTCTATTGGAATATCATCAGGTCCAACAGCTTTTCCACACTTCATTTTTTTTAAAGCTTCTCTAACTTCAATTTTACTAATACGCCGATAAAAACAAAAAAACTTTATTTTCATTTAAGGTGCTAAAGTTACTAAAGACAAACGTATTTTCACATTTTTCATTAAAAAGTTTAGTAAAATATCTCATCCACCTTTGTTGAATATCGTCTTCTAAGAAAAGTATTTTTTGAACTTCATCCTTAATACACTTCACTTGAATTAAATCCTTACTACTCCTATCTATTTGTTTGACTAACTTATACATATATATTTCTCCCTCCTTAGTATTTAATCTATTATATAAATCATTAAAAGCTAAGTTCTTTGCAACGCAAATAGTTTTTTTAGATTCCTTATGAGCCTCTTTATATATTTCCCAATTATCATAATTTTTACATCTAAACAAATTTTTATAACAAATCTTCTTATTTTTTATCTTTTTTGTACATTTGGATTCCACCACCAATTATTTTTACTATTATGAGTTTTTCCCTTTGAAATTCCAAGCACATCTTTTGCAATATTCTTAATAGCACTAGCAATTTTTTTCCAAATAATATTAGAATCCTCATGAGCAAACAAAATCTTAAGATAAAAAATCTAACTCTCAAAAATATTATTGTTAATATTCTTTAAATGCCCCCCTTTAATCCTACAATATTATTTTAATTTATTTTTTATTTTATGTCTATTTATCTTTAAGTTCAAAACTAATAATCGATGTTGGGTGCATAGATTTTCACTCGGAATAACTTTATAATCTTTGCAATCTAAATGATATAATTTTCTTATAAGAAAATAATCAATATGCATTTTACTATATCCATTTTTGTAAGTGATAAGATGCTCATCTCTTTTCTTAAATAAGATATTAGCTATTAAAAAATCATAAACTAAAGAAAAATTAAATATAGTCTTACCGCCTTCATTTGTCGTTTCAAACCCATGGCCATCATGAATGCTTTTAGAATCATCTACCTCTCTACCAACATGTCCATTTAAATCTCCTCCAATAAAAACTCTTTTCTTAAAAATGTATCTTTTGCATTAATTCTTTTAAGTCATTTAAAAATTTAATTTTGAACTCCTATCCAAGCCTACTTGAGGAGCATAAGCACTTATAATATTAACAATATTAGCATCAACAATAATCTTTAAAACTATAATTTTATCTCCAATTCTATTAATTTTTATAACATTATCATTCAAACTCTTATTGATAATCACACTTACACCATTTTTAATATAACTCCTACCCAAAAATCATAGTTTATATCCTAAACTATCAATATCCTTAGCCTTCTCTCTAACTCATTTAGTTTTTCTTAAATGCACAGAATATTTATATTTCTATGAATAATAATATCTATTAATTTCATTAATTTTTCTATAAGGGAGCCTATATTCCAAGTTCTTATCCTAATTTTAGTTTCATGGACTAGCTTCTTTGCTCACATCCATCCTTGATGTGAGAACTCTTGCCTATTTAACACTGCACCCAATGACGGTGTAGTGGCACTTGCACACTTATCGCTGTATTCAGGCCATACAGCACGTCGCTTCCAGGGGACACCCTAGCATTAACACAATTTTTAAAAGGATTAATGTCATGATTATTCGACAAGTTTTACGTAGGGTATCGACTACCTAATACAACCCTTCACTTTTCTCATCCAAGACTTGGGACCTGGCAACGACATTATTAAGATGCTGAGATGATCTGATGAGAATATTATTACTAAGCCTTTATTGATTTACCCTACAACATAACAGTACCAATGGTAACCTGCACTAAATATCCCACTTCCCATCAATCGCAACCTGACCTTTTGACCCTTCCTCCCCTTCTTATGCTCCACCCTTGTAAAATATTTTGCTTCTTTGGAAACTTTTCATGCAATTGGCTTCAAAGTGATCCCTCCATACTTTTCAATTTATATTTCTCTCAACCTTCATCCCCCTTCCTCAGCTTCCACACTACAAGTACTAAAACACCTATAATCCTTAGCTGTTTCTCTCCACAATGCAAAATAGGCTCAATAATTAATATACACTACCTTTTTTTCCAAACGAGCTTGAAATGTGAATCATCAACCCATTATTTTCCAAACATAGTTTAAAATGTGCCACATATTAAATAGGTTCATTTAGGAGTAAAGCCAATCAACCCCTTACCCAGAAGTTGTGGTTACTATACACTGAAGTACACTTCAATAGCATAAAGACCATAAATGACTTATTTCATACCTTAGTTCTTTGAAGCATGTTGTTTGATTTAAAAACTAAGCAATGTCTAACTAAGAAACAAGAGATTGGAAACAAAACCCAAACAATTCTCATCACTCATCAGCTGTAGTTATTCCAGTATTGAAAGTAAAAAACGTATGGTAAATTAAGCAATTAACAGCTTGAGGCCACAGTTTTATAAAACCAAGAATATGATTGATTAAATTGAATTTCACCATCTGGCAGAAATTGGCATATCTGATACTTACATTGTCATTCTCGTTAATAGACAAACCTTGCCCACATTGAATCTGTTGATCAAGAACATTTACCACTCTTACAAGAGTTTCAGGTGGAACCATATGCAAGATTTTCTTTGCAGAAGGAGATGTTATTTCATTAATAAGATTTTTTATGTCAACAAGAGGAATTGATGGTCCACCTTCCCCTCCCATATCATCAAAAACTTCTGCTTTCCCGCAGAAGTCTTCCAACATCTCACAGAAGGTACCAAGAATATCTATAAACAGAATGTAGGAAATTTTACCCCAAAAAAATCATTAATAAGAACAGTCACGTAAAAAAAAGGAAAAAGAGCAACCTTCGAGATTAGGAGGACCAGGCCCTGATGACAACGACTTGGAATCACTTTCTTTCTTAACTTTGAGTTTGCTTGAATTAGCAGAAGTTAATGGTTCCTGAAGAATATTATAATCAATGCAAAATTAAAAAATAGAAAAGAAGTTACTACACAATTGAGAAAAGAATACACTCACATGAAGTAAATTGCTGCCTATGTGGTTACTTAAAGTGGCCCCATTTTCAAAATGTCCATGACTAGTACTAGATATATTTCTCATTAAGGGTTTCTTTTCTAATGCTTCATGTTGAAGATGCTCAGCCTGAAAAGGACCTGAGAAACTTGAACAGCATAACGTAAGGTAAGGATGCAAATATATCAAGAAGTAATTAACCATAAATATCTCCTAAAAGATGTGATAATTAAGAAACTCAATTGCAAACATATGGAAGTATCCAGGAACTATATTCAGGTCCAAACCACTCAGGTTATTGCTTGTACAAATTCCAACTTAAAAAAAATGCATCAACAAAATTCTGAATTTGAGCTCGATTAGAAGTACTGAATTACGAGTATGGTGCTAGTTCAGACCGCAGTTTCTCCAACTGAGAACCAATAAAACCAACCACCAACACACACAAAGAAAGAATTCATGTTTCGAATTCAGCATGACAATTAAATGAACCGAAACAGCACACAGAATGAACCATACATAGACATTTATAACCGAAATGATAAAATCATACCACTAAAATTTAACTGAGTATAAGTTACCTGCAGTAGAACACTCAAACGCTGCTGGATACTGCTTGATGACCTCATCATAGAGCTTTGACACCACACCCGAGCTGCACGGTGAATTCTTCGCCCCCTTGTTTAAATTTCTAAGCAAAATAGTCAATTAGACACAGCCAAAGGTCCAAGCAGTTCAAAAGCTAAACTGGCACACCAAAGCAACTCCACCCAAATCCAGACAAATTTGAGCAAACAGAAAACTTACAAATAGCTAACATCACAGTCCCTGAGCAAGCTCGCAATCTTCATAGCCTGCGCTAAGACCTCCGGACGGTCTCCATCTACACCACGTCCGGAGACATCCTCGAAGAGCCCGAGAGCTGGATCCGCCGCGCCAAGATGCACTGGTAACGAGGGAAGCGCGAGGGAGGGAGCGATCTCCGAGTGGATGGTGTTGGAGAGACGGCAGGCTTTCTCTAAGCCTGTGCTCTGGTGGCATTCCATCTATCGGGAAGCCAAGACACGGCGCCGCCGATCAAATAGATAAGGCACAGCCAGGCGAAGTGGAAATTAGGGTTAGAGATTGAAGAATATAGACTGTTTCGAATAATTGAGGGAGAAGATGAAGACCCAGAGAAAGCAGAAAATGGCGCGGAGGAGTTCTGGAGCGGGAGAGATAGAAGAGGAGTAGAGCTTCGACGGGATTGGGGAGAGACGACCGATGGCATATAGTCGAGGATCGCCGATCAGCCGATCAGGAGGGCTTTCTATTTTACGCATTTACCCTTCCCATTCGTGGTAAACTGGTCATTAAATGCGTGAAGCCTGTTTCGGAAGCAGGGGCCGCGTAGACCATTAATTTAAAGACTTCCTTCGCCGTTAGGCATTGTGTAGGCATGTCGTAATTTTTATCTAACGGGTAAATTATTTTTTATTTAAATTATGATGCTGACTATAAATGTGTGATAGAGATAATTTATTAATTATAATAATTTTCTCAAGAAAAATATTCAAGATTTTGGAATATTTTTCTTTAAGAAAGCACTATAATTAATTAATTATCACTATCTTACCTTTATAATTAGCATCATAATTTAAATAAAAAATAATTTACCTTAAGATCAAAACTCTTAAAAGATTGCGGTGTCAATAACTAATCTAATTAATAATCCGACCTAGCAAAATATTTATTTGGGTTGACCTATCTAATAAATAAAATATTTCAATTGTTTAATTGGTGGATCACGATAAGTTGACCTGTTAACTCTATTTTGACGAGAACATAACTCATTTAAATATTTTTTTAATTAAATTCTCTTGTTTGTAGATTCTTCTTATTTTTATTAATTAATCTAAATGAGTAATTGGGTAAAGTGGAGACATCCTGGTTGTTAGCAAGTCAAGTTCGACTCCACCTTTTTGACCGTTTATTAAAAGCGTCGAGATTCATATTCATATCGGATGAATTATTACGTGCGGAGGTTGAACACAAAGAACAATCTGTTCACCATTGCGCTTCAATTGTTCACAGAGACAAATCTGAATGGTTCTTTGTGTATACTCTCCGCGCGTAATAATCTCTCTTCATATCAAGTTAATTTCGTGTCTGATCTAAACCCTACCCATTAACCCATTTTGACAAGGAGAAAAAAATTTATATGCTAGCTTATAATTTATTTATTTATTAAATCAAGGAATAAATGTTTAGGTTTCTCTTTAATTTTTTTACTAAAATTTAATATTATTAATGAAGCCTACGTATAAATAAGGATTTAAAAAAGAGATAAAGTACAGCTGAGTTTGATTATGCCCTTTGATGATGTCTTATGTAACGTTTATGTCAGCAATATTTCTAAAAATGGCACACTGAGTTGGATGAGCTTTATTTGAGAAGAACATGCAGTCATTAGTCAACATCTTTTTCAGTGAACAGGAGCAAGTACACATGAAGAAAATAATTAGTCCACAAAAATTTAATTAATTATGGACTAATAAAAATGAGTTAAATTAGACTATAAATGAGTTGAATTAGATTATTTTCTTGTTTTTTTGGATCAATTTTTATTTAGGGAGGAATTTTTTCTATTTTTAATTTTATTTTGATTAATAGGCTCAATTATTTTATTATGGATATTTTTAAGTTTGAATTTAAATTATTAGGGTATGATTTGAGTTGGTTTTAGATGGGATTAGATTTTAATTTAATTTTTATGTCTTATCCTTATAATCTTTTTTTTTTTTTTGTAATTGATGAATATTATGAATATTATTGATTAAATGAGTCAATTTATTTGTGGCCAAATGATTGATCATTAGATCTAAGTTTTATTTGGGAATAGCTCCAAATTGAATATGTGGAGTTATGTCGTATTTCCACTTTGTTGAATTTTAGTATCATGGTCGTATCATGACCTATAAACCCCAAATATTTAAAGTTAGATACTATCTATGTCACAACCCAACCCAACATAACCTATAAACTCTATCGTGTAAAGTTTTGATAGGTGATCTGAACATCTAATTTTAGAATGTTTCATATTTTCTTTCAATATTCATTTTAAATAAATAATATGCCATAAAGCTACTAAAATATCAAGAATATTGTAAATAACTTATCCATAGGATTTTTTTTATTTTATCAAAATATATTTATATTACAGTACAAGGTTGCAAACAGAAACTACAGAATTGAATAATAAATTAGTCATTACTATATAAAAAATAACAAAAGAAATACCTAGCAACTCCGATCAGATACTGAACTGCTAGGTGCTAATCAATAAGCTCATTCCCTTTCCTAAATCCTGAAAATCAGTAGCAAAAATATGGTGAGCAACAATAACTCAACATGCCACACGAACCGATCTAAAATTTTAAATTATTTTATTAAATGTTTTTCATAATATTAAAATTAGAATATTTAAAAGCAGTTAAATATAGTATAATAAATCACTGTATTGAGAAAGGAAATAAGAGCATAGCTGTTATTTAAAAATTCGAGAAATAATACAGTACATTTAATTCAAGCTAGAATTCATATCACAAAATAGTTCATATCAATTGTGTATCAGTTTTTCTTTTCTTTTCTCAGATCTAAACAAAATCTTAAAGGATTCTAATCCCTTATAACTTCATTTGTGCTCATAGCACCAGAACATACATGTAGACACTAGAACGTGACTTATAACCACTAGAATATGCCTTAAGGCATCAGATTAATCTCTAATACAGACAATTTCAAAGGATTATGGTCTCTTATATCTCTCGGCAATCATAATTTAATCACATATACATATATTTCATCACATTATAACAATTAAAGTATAATTGAGCACATGTCAGGTTGGAAAATAAAGAGCACTTCACAATATGATGGAGTTTTCCCACCATAAAATCAATAGTGTGCCAAACCCGACCAATTTGATGACAACAATACAGTGCCACCACATTGTCATATTGTAGCTCCTCCATCGCAATATTATTAAAATCTCTTGGATATTGCCAATTTGACACATCATTCTCGTGTTGCTCAACCAGCCAATAATCCTCTCGCAGCATTGGTGTGCCTTTCATGATGTCATAAGAGATTTTTTTTTTTGTCATAAGAGATATACTCTAATATATCATTCAAGAGGAATTACAACACCATTATACATACATAATTAATATGCTTATGATCGATGCACTTTTTTTATAGGTCTTCTATAATGATCGTTGTTATAGAAACAAGTCCATTAATGGTCAAATTCCACCGGAAAAAAGCCGCCGTAAATTGGGTGATTTTCCTGTAGTGATTTGAAGTGACTCGAACTAAATTTAGTAAGAACCTCATGTTTTTCTTTGTATTTATTAAATCTTTGTGATGTTATAAGCTATCTTATGTTTAACTAAGTTCAAATGAGTCTTTAGTCAAGTTAGGAAAGTGATAAATTTCAATGTAGGAAGTTCCTTGAGAGCGTTGTGGCACTTTTATGTGGAGATGTTGCCCTCTCTATTTAGGTGAAGACATTTGGGAGGGCTGTAATGATGTCAAAAATGGCGATGTGACGTTGGGCCAAATTTAAGATTTTTATATAAATATCTAAAAACATTTCAACTTACCTTATTCTCATTCCCCATTTGGTAGGAATGTTAAAGAGGGGTCACAGCAGGATAAAAGAAGAAAAAAAATAAAAAGCTAGGTTTTAGAAGTCACGGAGCTGAATTCTTCCATCAGGTCAATTGAAGAAATCATTCAGCTCAAGGTAGGCTTCCTTTACTCAACTTTAGTTTTTAATTTTATTTGATTTAAATGAGTCTAAAAAACTTTCCACCATGTAACTTTTGATATGATATGATTTTTTAGCATTATAATATTATATATATATATATATAACAGATAATTTGAGCATTCATTTTAACAAGTAAAATTCAAAGTTTCACAAGTTGGTTTTAAATGTATGATTTTTTATGTATTTTACTACTTAAATAGATTTTAATAAAAAATGATATAGAATAATAAAGACCCAAAAATAATATTATAAATGTTGCATATGTGTACAAGTTCTATGTCATGTATATTACTAGAATTATCGTATATGTGTTACTTCCATGCAGTCATGCATTATGTTAAATATCAATTATAAATGTTGAATATATCAATATTTTTATATTCATATGATGCAATGCATGTTCATATAGTGGATGTGAAGAATATGAGAGATGATCAATGATCAAGTGCAATATAAGTTATAATTAAGAGGCCTTACAAGTTTATGTTCATGTATTCCTCCATCTATTTTGAACATATATGAGATAATCAAGTGAAAATAGAGTTATAAGTGAAATTGGGCATGTCTCCATCTATAGATGTGAGAATGTTTAAGTTGAGATATAAGTGAAAGTGGAGTTATATGTAGGCACCGAGACATGTGCATGAATTATGTTCTGCATAAATTCCATACAAGTCATGTGTTCTACCATAAAGTAAAGTACAAGTTTGAAAGAAAGTTCATAATATTGATACATGTAAGTTCAAGAAATGATCGTCATTGCCACTTATAAGTTCATGTATTGCTATTTACAAGTCAATGAATATATGAAATCGACATGTCATATCTATTAATAATTTAAGTATATGACTAAATTCATGCTATGAATAGAACTTTGTATAATTATCTTGATATTTTAATTAAATTATGTTCGCTCTTATACTATTTATTTTAAATAAATAATATTAAATACTTTAGTAATGTTTCGAAATGCCTATGGAGCAAGTAGTTGTCTATCTTGTATATTCATGTACTGGATTATTGTATATAATTCTTTTGGAATAATGTGAATGTTTAGTTATATTCTATCTCCTGAACTTTCGATGTTTAGTTGACTTCCACATTTGATTCTACTCTCTTTTTTATATTAGTAACCATAGCTTCATCAATTTTGTCAAACTTTTATAGAATGATTTACTATAAATCAAATCATTATAAAAGAATTTCCTTATCTTTTTAAATATTTTCTTTAGTGATTCATCAAATCTCAAAATTGAATCATGAATTATAAGGAGATGTTTTTTTTCTTGGAGGTCTCAAATGTGAACCTTTCTACTTCTCACTGATA